TATATATATATATATATATATATATATATATATATATATATATATATATATATATGGTATATAATATATATATATATATATATATATGATACGTGATCTGTAATTTTCGCATTCATGCATAAAGTACTAATTAATATGTCAATATCGATAAACCATTCGGTATATGAGAAATCGCATAAGTTAAATAGCAGATGGCCTTGTTAAGCTAATCTCATTCGCATCTATTCAGATTTTTGCGGTGGTGTGACGACTTGTGGGTACCTCTCGTCTCTACATTATCAAATTTTATAGTACGAGGTGTACCTACAGGCTAATACTATTTACATCCATTCAGATATTCGTGGTGGTGACGACTCGTGGGTACTACTCGTCTCTATATCATCAAATTTATAGTACGAGAAGTACCCACAAGACGCATCATCAGGTAATCCATCCATCCATCCATGCAACGCAGTAACATCTAATCGTACAACATTTTATCGTTTTCCTGCATCTGTGTGGGTATGTGTGGTGTATTTTTTGTATATAGCTATAACATTAATTAACGCTTATGCTTATTATGTACGTTACATTTCTTAATTAATCTTATTATTATCAATTTGTTAAATGTTTTTTATCCATTGAAAAATGATCTTGCAAATATTATATATATATATATAATTATTCTTTTTAATTCCTTCTAGAATCCTATCGATAGATGGCAAATATTATTCTGGATCGGTGCAGGAGTGTGCATAGTTTGCATGATCGTCTTTATAATCGGTGGAAGCGGAAACATTCAACCTTGGAACGAGGTCCAAGTCGAAACAGATGAGGGCGAAACTTAATTATATTTATAACTTTTATTTTTACTTTTAACGTTAAATATTTTTGCGATAAAAAAAGTTAAAATAAGTATTAATTTAAATTATAAATTACGTATATTTTATAAAACCATAATAACGTTTTACTATACTTTTTATCGTACTGACAAATAGTCATCGTGGATGCATAAGAAATGTTATTGTAAATATTTTATAAATCTTTCGATGCAAATAGATAAGTTCTAGTGAGAAAGAGAGAAAATAGCGCAAAATTTTATTAAAATTTCAAGAATTTGTGAATATGAAATTGTATGAGAATGAAGTTCTTAAATTTTTTATACAATTTAGAATGTTATCGAATAGAATATAATCGAATTCTTTATTAAATAAATATATTTGAACCAAAGTTAATTCTCATCCGTCTTTCGTGTCAATTTCGTGACACAATTTTTATATAAAAAGTAATGTTCTTCTGTAATTTGTAAAAAAAAATTTGAATTTTTGTGATTTTTATTATTTTTTTTTTTTAACACGAAATATATTGTTATAATATATATCTTGTATTGTTAATAGCAAAATGTGCAATAAAAGCAAATATGTGATATGAAATATATTATATTTGTTACAAAAATGTCCTTTGTATGTCAATTTAATATAATTTAATAAATAAACTAAATAAAAATATAATTTAATATTACAACGTATAATTCTTATGTTTTGCCAAGTCCATTGATAGCAAGATTATTGTTTGCAATTGTCTTAATTGTTGCATGATAATTATGCATTTATTAAATTGCATAATTTAAATACATTTGTATATTGATATAAATTGAAAGAAGAGAAGAAGAAATGTTTTATCCATTTTCTCTTTGTTATTTTCCACATGGCAAAATTAAGAACAAGAATAAGATTGAAGCAATACAAAGTCGAATGCATACAAATGAAATCTCCGAAAACTTCAAGTAATCTATTATATTATAAATTTTTATTTTTTATTTTTGATAAAATAATTAATTATCTTTCCATTTTATTGATTTTATCATTATGTCAATTTGAAAGACATATTATTAAAATAAAGAATGGATGAGAGTTAAACGTTGTTTCATTATTTATAAAAAATATGTTTTAAATTAATGTTTAATTCAATAAATAAAAAAAATATCTTTCTAATTTTAATAAAAAATCAAGAATAAAAATTTTAAATCTTTGTTTTTGACAAAAGTCGAAATTAAATATATAATTAAAAAATTGTGTAGTAAATTATAATTAAAGAATTTCGAAATTCATTTTTTCGAAAATTAATTTTTTTTTAAATGAGAAAAATTTATTTTGTTTGAAACACTTTTTGCTTATTTTCATATGTAGGATAACTACCTGTTAATACTTTATTCGTTATTTAATTGAGAAATAGCTAATTTTAAAAAAGCGAAACCTTAATAAAAAAACAAAATAAATAAAAAAATTTTATATTGTTAATTTATTGTTTCACATAGAATCATTCTTGTTCGATCACTAGTTACAAAATATCCTACATGTAAAAATAATAATATTTATGAATTAAAATATTGCACATGAAATATGTAATATTTTTTTTTTCAATCAATTTCAATACAAATAGATAAATTCTATAAAAGAGCATTTATTAAGATTTCAAATATGATTTAAAATGTTATAACGATTTTAAAAAAAAATGTTTTCTCATTAAATAAATATATTTGAATCAAAATTAAACATTATTTGTTAAACGTTTTTATTTTTTTTATTTATAGAAAATATATTTCAAATTAATATTCTAATTTTAATAAATAAAAGATATTTTCCAAATTTTAATAAAATTTTTTATATATATTATAAATAAAGTTTAGATATTGTTTATATATAAAAATAAAGTATTTATGTATGAAATTAAAATATTGTACATAAAATATGCAATATTTTTTCAATCAATTTAACGTGCTGTACATTAATCAAATCTAAAATTATTATATAACTAACATATTATTAATAATATTTAATTATTTTTCAATTTTGAAGAATGTTAATAATTTATTTCTTTTTCTCAATATAAAATAATAAAAAGGAAGGACAATAAATATTATATATGTACAGCACAAAGAATCATTTTTATTGGTAAGAATTTGTTAAGTTATTATACATTTATCATCACAAATACTTTATTCAAAACTACTAATTTGATTAATTTCGATTATTAATTTTTTTTGTTAATTCATAATAGTTTTCAACCATTTTTCTTTTGATAAAACATAAAATTGTTCTTTATATATAAAATGAAATATATGAATTAAAATTTCTTACAGATTTGCAAGCTTTTAATAACGATAAAGCAACAATCTCTGTGCACATTTCATTCCAACTAAATTAGCATATTCTTTAATCTCATTCTCCTCTTCTTGTGTTACTGCTTGGTGAACTTGTTTTGTATATATTTCATACGACATTGCAGTTTGCTGATATAAAACTAGTATCTTAAGAATAATAATATTTGTTAATGAAAATAAAATAAAAAAACTTTATAATATAAAATATAAAAATCATATTTATTACCTTATGAATATCAACTATACCATCTTCATCAATAGCATTAACATCATCATTCAGTCTACTGTATTTTTGTTTATCTAATTTTAATAAACATGGTTCTATATCAAACCACATATAAGTTTCAGGACATAATAGCTTTGATGGTTTCATTCGTGCTTTATACCGCATTTTGGGACATATATGTATATAAAATCCCATATAGTAGTATTTCAAATCTTTTGCTATTTTATTTAATTGTCTTGTCAAGTAAACTTCTCGAAGAGAACTACATAAAATACAAAATGTTAACAATTTATTGCAAATACAAAATAAAAAAGCTTTTTACCAACCTAAATGTTCCAAGTGACAGATGAGAATATGCCGGATCATAAAAAAAATAAACGCTTGAAACGCAAGATGGTAAAATATCTATTACTCCAACTGCAATTAATTCATTATCTAACCAATATTGTTCATGAAATGAACCATATCCACTTGGTGGTCCGTCATCCGGAGTCCATGGCTTCAAAATTATAAACTCCTTATTTGTATATATTCTTTATCCAAAGCAATGAAATTTTTAAATGGAAAGGAAGCGGTATTTAATAAAAATGATTATAACAATACCATACATAATTTTGTTTAACTTTTAAATATATTAATTAATAATGCGAGAATGTTATTCTATTGTAAAAAATTAAATTATAAAATCAAATTGAGACCATCCTGAATACAAAGTGTACCTGTAAAGAACTTTTTACAAGGAAGTTGAAGAATGATTCATCATCTGATTCCTCTTCTGATTCACCATGAATAGTCATTTGATATTTTTTAAAGAGATTTGCACTTACTTTAAGAGTTTTAATAAACTCATCCGACATTGTTCTCACCAATTTTATCTGATGAATTTAAATATACAAATTATATGTAATAAAACAATGTACAACATGCACTTTGCAAGAAAGTCCACTTTGCTCCAATTATTTATCACAATAATTTATTTATTTTTCAATATAATAATACTTTTTATAATTTTTCAAAATTGATATTTAATAATATTGTATAATTAATTAATACAATAATAATTATGTATGATATTATGTAAAAACAATAAAAAAATTATTATAATCTTATTTTGACAAATAAAGAACTTTAAAGATAACTGATCAGAATAACAGAAAACTATTATTATAACAGAAATTGTAAAATTACCTGTAAAGGTGATTTCACAAGAAATCTTGTATATTGCTTCTTTGTAACCTTTTCTGCTAAAACTCCATGTATTGTTGTTTGATATTTTTTATATATCTCATAAGATTGTTTTGAAGTGTTTAGGTATCCAGAGCTCATTGGTGAAGTTCTAACTAGTTTCAGCTAGTAAAAGTTAAATTTTACATAATTTTATCAAATCAAATTGAACTATAATGAAATGTTGCAACTAAATTGAATGAATAAAAAAATATGAAAAAAATAAAATTATCATTTAATTATTTTTCAATATATATTTCCTACCTAATTTTTAAATATTAAATAAATTGGAGAAAAGAGGACCAACTTTTGTAAAAACCATTTTTATGCAATATTTATTTATATAATGGTGAAGTATATAAAGAAGTAAATGTACATCCTACCTGCAATCTATTATTTTCATTATATACTTCATCAAATAATTCCTCCAAACTTTTAACTTGATTCTCTTGCTTACTTTCTTTGAAAATAGCTTCTATTTCTTCTTGAGATTTTCCTTGTGCCATTAATTTATTTTGTTTTCGTTGTTTACGTAAAAATTTTGCTTTCATACAAGGAGTTTGAGAAGGATTCATTCCTGATTCTAAATTTTGGGAAGTGTTATGGCTATTATCTTCAAGATTTGATATAACAGGTGTACTTTCAGAATTTTGTTGTTTGATATTTAAATCACATTTTTTCTTTCCTTTATCTAATGTAGTAGGTTGTAATCTTGCATTAATATCGTCATCAATAAATTTTACATTCATATCAGAAATATCTTTACTAGCTTTTAGAAATTGTTTATCGTGATTAGGAATTTCTTCAATATCTGCAATAAAGTATACACAAATTTTTAAACAAAATATATTAAATTATAGTATTAATTATTTATATTAATATAATATACATTAAAATAATTATATTAATTAATTATAATTATATTAATGAAAAATTTGTATATCTTTACCTGTATTATCGCGATAATCTCCTTCACATATATCCATAGTATCATTTTTATGTAATTCATTTTTTAAAAATTTTGCCATTCTTTTCAAAACTTTCTTTTGTGATTTAGAAATTTTAAATTCTAAAGCTTCACATCTATTATAGATATTTAAATATTTAACATTTGTTATTATTTCTTATATTAAAAAATTAATTTTTAAAGCAATTAAGAACTATCGATCTTACTTAATTGTATACATTGGACAACATGTTTGATCCATAGTAGATTTATAACAATAAGAACCACATCTTCTCCAACCTCTATCTATTAAAGCTTGATAATCTTGAACAGTCAATATATGTGTACCCATACCTAAAATGAATTATATTTAAGACATATATAAAAAGTACTTTTTAAATAGCATAAATATAAATATATGAAATTTAATAGGACAGGAACAAAAATTACATATGCCTGAAACAATCAGATATAACATAACCTTTTGACATAAGTGTCAAATTTTCCATATATAAAATAAAAATGATTTTACAATAAAATTTAATACTTGCCATGACTGAAATTTGTATTTGGACTCTTACAATAACCACATCTATATTTGTCTTGTTCACCATAATACTCAACAATACTATACGATTGTCTCGCCATTTTTTCGCTATATTTATTCGTTTTATTATTATTGCATTAGTCACAACGATTCAATTATCAACAAAGATCATGCAATATTTTTATTTATTATACGATATAAATTTTACATTAATGATATTGACACAACATCATCACATATTTACAAATTCTCACTAAACAGGAAGTGGAATTGCTACTGTCATCTCACCTTATTTTTGAATAAATTTGTATAAATATAAGATTTTTTATTTTTTCCTTATTCGTACTTTTATTAAAACTTTATTAAATTTTAAATAATTTATACTGTAATTTGTATAATTTCATTTTAAAAAAATATTTATGGAAAATTAAATAGATAGAAATTTTTTTTTATTTATAACTATGAAAATATATTTAATATATTTAAAAATAAACATATATATTTAAACACTAAAGATATAAAGATATAAAGCAAACATCATTTAATGTTTATTTTTTCACATAAAAAAGTGTGTATAATTATATGTTAAAATATAAAAATATATATAAAGATATAAAATAATAATAATAATATAAGTATTGGAATATGAAAATCTAAAAATTTCAAGTAATATCTTCATTGCAAAAATTTTCATTATTTAACAATTTATTAACAAAAAATATTGACCAATCAAATTGTGGTAAAAAAAAACGAATATATCTTAGAATATTTATATTTTTAACAAATAAATGATAAATAATAACTTTTGAAGAAGAAAAAGAAGAATAATAAAGAAAGAAAGAAGAGAGAATTAATAAAGGAAAAGAGGAAGAGAAATTGATGAAAGAAAAAAAGAAAAGGAATTGATGAAGAAAGAGAGGTGAAGAAATTGATAAAAAAAAAGAAGAGGACAAATTGATAAAAATATGGAAGAAGAAAAATTGATAGAAGGAGGAAGAATTACAAAAGATATAAGAGAATGATAAAAGAGTGGAAAGAATGAGGATAAAAGAAGAATGACAAAAAAAGATTCAGAATGATAAAACAGATGAAAAAAAATGCCAGAAAAAAAAAGAAAGACAAAGGAAATGATAAAGAAGAGGATGGCAAGAGATAACAAAAGAGGAGAAAAATAGATAAAAAACGGATGGAATCCAATGAATGTACTATATGCATAATAATTAATTTATTCATTGTTTTTGAATGAATGTAATTCGATATATTTTTTTGATAAAAACAGATTTTTTTCGACATATGTTGCTTAGATATTATATTTAATCGATAACATGTACTTAACATTATTTTCGCGGTTTTATTAATCTATATGTTCCGTGATTGATCAATATTTTTGTTAGATAATTCGTTCACAAGACCGTAAAATAAAAATTTTTGCAAAGTAAAATGTTGCTTAAAATTATCAATTAATCCAATATCTCCAATTAATTGATATTCTCATTTTTTTGTAATATTTAATATACTTGTATACTTATAACATAAAAATTAGATTAAATAAATTCTGTTAAATTTTTAATCAATAATAGTTTAAATAAAGAAGAGTAAAATTAGTCAAAATTAGTCAATATTGTCTTTAAATGTCTGAAAAAACAAAAAAGGAGAGAAAATAATTAAAGAAGAAATAAAAATTATGAAATCAGCGCTATTTTTAGAATACCTCAAATGAAATATATAAATAAAAAACTAAATTATAAGAATATAAATATAAAATAAAAATTGACTTCTAGCGCTATCTCTTAAGAATCAGAGGTACTTTTTTAACAGCGGTAAGATAAGAATTCATTGTTAGCGCTATCTCTTGAATGCAAAAGACATTCTTTTCAAAAATATTCAAAAGATGATATAGATCATCAATTCTTATTCTATCTTATCCTATCTGTGAAGAAATATTTTTAATATGCTACTTTAGAAATGGCGTTGAAAGTCAATTCTTACTTTCTTTATCTTTTTTTTACTATATCCTCTCTTTGTTTATATATTTTATTTATAGCATTCTAGAGATGGCGCTGATCCCATAATTTTTATCGTATCTCTGTCTTTTTTCTACTGTATTGTTCTTTGTAACGTCAGAAAAATATCGTTTTATGAATGCGATATAATAAAAAACAAAAATTTATAAAAAATATAAAAAATTTATATATAAAAATGCATTAAAACTTGTATTTTTTTAAATATGATCATAAGAACATAAAATCTCAAAAAAAAAAAAATCAGATTTATTTTGTATTTTGCTTTTATTATAACATTTTCTAACGTATTTTGAAAATTAATTGTATGCAAATAATCGAAGTAATATTATATATTACGTATATAATATTATTATATGTATTATATTATTTTTTATAAGTAATTTAAAATAATAATTGCATAATTCTTATCAATAGTTATAAAAATCTATGAAAAAATGGATTTATATTCTTAAAATTAATTAATAATTATAACAATTTTTAATTATCACGGAAATTTAAAATGATACATGTGTTCACGTTTTGCCATTCATGAATGAAACTGCTCCTGTTTTACAGCAACAGGCGTCTCTTACTACAGAGAGTGGAACATCGATCTATTCCTTCGGGATACCCCTTCTGGTTACAGTTTCTAGTCCGCAGGATAGTATCAATGATTATAAATGCCTGTCCTAATATAAATTTTACATTAGTGTCTTTTATATATTACATGGGCATAAAATTTATTAATTGTTTATTAATAATTATTCAAATTTTTTAATTTTTTTGTTTTTTTAATAAATTAATATTAAATAATAATATTCTCCTTATAATATCTAAATTAATATTTGCTTTAATATATATTACACGGAATATAATGTGTTTTGAAATAAAAAATCGAACTAACTTCTATATCGTTAAATAGAAATAGAATGAAAATATAATAATAATTCAAAGTTTAATAAAATTATATTTAAAATATTTCTATATACGTGGGATTAAATTTAACGTTTCGATATATTTTAAAAAACGCCGATAAAAATGCATACGAAGAGATTATAATTGTTTAGCTTATTATCCGTCGAAAAATTATTTTGGATCCTGGAGTTGTGATGTTCATGCAACGTCCCTGGATACAATATCCATTCTCCCCTCCTACGAATCATTTCCTCACGTCGCGTATGTCCCCCACTAAGTTTTCGAAGCACGGGGATTCGTCGTTTCCAGAACCAACGGCTGACGTCAATGGGAACCAACCTTCGGGTCGAGCACGTCGAATTATATTATTTCACAGAATTTGCTCCCCCGTAATTACAACGACGGCTGGGTTCGGATGTATCCTCTTCGGAATAGCTTCTAGTGAATTTACGAAAATTAATTTTCCCATTTGCTTCTCGAGGAAATACAGTCACGTGTCTCTGAACAAGTATATCCTCAAATTCAAAGAGGGAATATACGTTTTGCCAGTGGTTGAGGGTGTGGCGTTAATTGCTCTCGATACTTCGATGAAAATATTAACAACGATTGCATTGCTTTTATCCATTTTATAAAACCGGAATTTTATAAAATCTCGGAATGCAATCGAATACAAAAATATTTTTCCTTATCTTACCAGATGTTAAACATAACATTTATATTGACCGAGCAAAATGAAAACTTTTTATCGTTCTCGATTAAAGCAGAAAAAGGTTAAATGTTTTTTTTTTTTCATCGTTAATATACAATAATTAAAATTGCAATTAAGATAATTGCATTAGAATAAATCTCTTCGTGTTTATTAACGTCGTTTTCGCAAGTATCTGTTAACCATAAAGCGTATTCCATAATATTTCGCTGAACATAGTTACTTTATGAGAACTCCAACGAGGCGAGTTGCGCTTGTTTTGTGCAACAACTACTTTAATTCGCGCAAGCGTGCAGCCGATTCTTTGGAAATAGGTCAATTACTGAAGCACGTAGCGCGCTAGGATGCGTCGTATCTCAAGTAAACACTTTGCTAAAGAGTGGTTACTTCCGAGAATTTTCCGGCTTCTCTCGCAAAATTTTATGTATACCATACTACAATATTATTTCTCCTTTTCTACCTTATCTCACTTTACTCCTCTGATAATAACGATAAAACATGCAGAAGAAATGTTATACCCAGATTAAATTCCATATTTTCCCAGAGTAAGCAGCAATCTTCTCCTTCGAATCTGTGATTATTTACAAAAGAACGACTTCTCGATTGGACAAAAAAAAAAAAATGGAATTTGACAAGATTTCTCAAGATAAAATTATTTAAAAAAAAAAAATCTTCTTTTGTCGATAAATATATCATAGCAAGAACATATCGTTAGCATAACAATGAGAAGAAGAAGAAGAAGAAGAAGAAGAAGAAGAAGAAAAAAGAATTTTCGTACTTTCGGTCGGTTCGTTTTCTGCCTCCCCTCTCTCTCATATGCGTGGGCGGTCGTGGGCGTTATACGACGGCGTAGGCGTTCGGCCTGTTGCGGGGGTTGAAGAAAAGTGGCCGGGGACTGAATACGGAAAACGGTGCCTCTGACTGAAAATGAGAACCACGAGGAAACAGAACCGCGGTATCTCGAAAATATTTTTTTCTTCGAAAGCGTGTTTGAAAAAATATTCTTCCATTAAAAAAGATCTCTCTCTCTCTC